AAAGCCCTTAAAACCTGGCTGTTCCGACAGGCCTGGGGCTAAAGAACCGTTGCCCCCATCTCGAATGCTATGATTGTTGCGTGTTTTAAATCATGTATTGTTTTGTGTTGTTGTTAATTTGTCTGTATCCCCCTTCCCTGGTTTGAGTTGTGAGCCGCCCTGAGTCCCCCTTCGGGGGGGGGAAAGGGCGGCATATAAATGAAATAAACATCAACATCAACATAACAATAATGAAATGGGGGGGGAGGTGTAGACTAAGTTCATTTGTGGCTGTATGGGGATTGTAGGTCGATCCCTCTTTTAACTCTGCTCCCATGTTCTGCCACTCCAATTGCTAGTCTCCTGGATTCTAAGACACAGGTGTCAAACTTGCGGTGTCGTGTTTCCATCACGTGATGTTTCATGACTTTTTTCCCTTTGTAGAGCTGGGTGGACATGGCCTACACATAACACATCCAACCTGTGGGCCGCCAGTTTGACACCCCTGGTCTAAGAGGACCTCTAGATTATCAACCCACTTTGATTGGGTTAGTGTGACCCTGTCCAGAGCTAAACAAGGAATGTCTCTGGAAACAGAGGGCTTCCATACCTTCAGTGTCTCTGTATATTCTCAACAATGTCTCCTGTTCAGACCAGAATTAAGATACAAATTAGTATCCTTCGCTTTACTGGTGATAGCTAAATCTAAGTAGAGACCACTCTGAGCAGCTTCATTTAAGTCTTAAATAGGAAGAGGGAAAATAGTATACCTTATGTCTCTCCACAGTAGAAGGCCGTAAGGTTTGCCATCTCATCCTTACCACTGATTTGAGTCACTACTTAGAAAAAAGAACCATAATACAATGCCCCCAATATCAAATCTCTCAGATGATTTAGAAGGATACCATTATTAATTGTAGCCACTAAGAGATCAGTCAGAGATCAATCAGAAGAATAACTTTCTCCCAAGTTATTCTTGAGAAAGACCAATGTGAATTCATTTCTCGGAACCCGAGTCTAAACCTTGACTGAAAAGAATAATGTATTTTCTCCAGAATTGTATCCAATTTCAACACACATCAACCCTCAAACTTTCAATAACATTCTCCCAGAAGGAAAGATCAGGGACTGGAGAATACCTAATCTAAATTGCTGGGTCAAGTGAAGGCCACAAGTGAATAGCTAATCTTAAATACTAGGTCAAGTGAAGGCTTCTTGATAACAGAGTACATCATGCCTCCTACAAAGTAGGCAGCATTACATTTCAAAAAATATTCATTACCATCCAAACTCAGCATTCTGTCACACTTTGGGAGTTTTTCATACAACCAGAAGAAAGAATGGGGTTCCAAGATGTAAGTGGCTGTGCTAATTTTACAGAAATCAGAACTAACAGACCTCTTTAAAATAATCCCACATAATATTGCAAAATTATCTTCATAGGATCTAACCAGTTAACCACCAGTTCAAATTAAGGCTGAATTTGAGTGATTTTGGCCCACAAACCCCTCACAGTGACTCAAAACATGGTATTTTAGTCTATTTTCCTCCAAAGAGCTGCAACGCTTTAAACAGAACATCCAGTCAGTATAAGGACACAATAAAAGCATGAAAAATTGTTCTTTTGCCATGTTTATTGCCACAGTATAGTCTCAAGTTCACATCTGTATTCATTCAAATACCTTTTCTCTGTTACTTCATCTCCCAAAGCTCCCCAGTAAATAAGGAAAAATCTCTGGATTGGCAAATTTAGAAAAACTCTCAGGTCTAATTCGGTCCTATATTCCAGAAGGATACTAAATCTTCTGCCAGAAAAATGTCGGTGGAATTATCCTCACTGTAACTTTCGCGGGAGGGGATGTCAACTATTCTCAAATTAAGAAGATCCATTAGGCACTTGGGATGGATAATCAAATAAATCTATCCTTGTAAAACCTAACAATACTATCAAGTACATAGCAATCAGTGTGTGCAGCTAGCACTTTCTAAATGTAATTTTGCCTTTAAAAATATAGAAACAAGACTTCAAAATACTATTTTAACCATCTACAATGTTTTAGAAATGGTGAGTATTACATTTTAATAGTTTCTTTGTTTAAGTAAGCTCAGTTCATATCATAAATTAGATATGAAAGTCCTAAATTTATCAGAACAAATTTAAATTGTTTAAAAGCTATTTCAGTATCCTCAACTTTCAACTATAATTGGGACCAGAATCTCAGTTACTAAGGAGTCACTGAGTGAAGGAGTCATTAGATGAGAGGCCTACATGATTGCTTCACTCAATAACTCCATCCCAGCACTCCCGTTAGTAGTGATTAAGTAATTTCCTGGGTTACTCAAATGTAATAAAGGTTGCTATACATAGAATATATAGAATGTTATATATAGAATGAAGAAAAAAGATGTATGAAATAAAACTTTATATATATAAAGTTATAGTTATAAAAGACTTATCTGTACAGATAAAAGAATCATAACAAATATGTAAAAGAAGTGTGTTGCAAAGATGTGAAGTTTGTATAAACAAAATAATTTTAAAAAAACAAAATAATATCCTGGGTTGTAAAGGAGATGGACTGAAAGAGCTGTCTGCCGAGTTCAGCTCCCGTGTGTGGAAGAGAACCCCTTTGGCGGGGTGCCAGAGCAATTATTCTCCCCTCCATGCACTGGAAGGAACTGTTCTCACCGAATCACATCATAAAGTTTGCTGATGACACGACCCATGGTGGGTCTTATCAGCAAGAACACGAGATAGCATACAGAGAGGAGGTGGAGAAGTTAATGAACTGGTGTAAAGCCAACAACTTGTCTCTGAATGTAGACAAAACAAAAGAGATGGTTGTTGACTTCACGAGGACACAACATGACCACTCCCCACTGAAGATCAATGGCTCCTCCGTGGAGATCATAGAGAGCACCAAATTCCTTGGTGTTCACCTGGCGGAGAATCTCACCTCGTCCCTTAACACCGGTTCCATAACAAGGAAGGCCCAGCAGCGTCTTTACTTTCTTAGGAAACTGAGGAAGGCACAGCTTCCACCACACATCCTCAGAACCTTCTACAGAGGGACCACCGAGAGCACCCTGAGCAGCTGCATCATCACCTGGTTTGGGAATTGCACCGTTTTGGATCGCAAGACCCTATAGCGAATAGTGAGGACGGCAGAGAAGATCATCAGGGTTGATCTTCCCTCTGTCATGGACATATACACACCCGCTGCATTTGTAAAGCCAGAAACATTATGGCTGACCACACACCCCCCTCGCTCTTCACTCTCCTGCCATCTGGAAAAAGGTACAGAAGCATTTGGGCCCGCACAAACAGACTGTGTAACAGTTTCTTTCCACAAGCCATCAGACTCCTCAATACTCTCTAAGTTCTTAGATTTAGAGCTATATGTAGTTCTGTGTTCTGTGTTCTGCTCTTTTTTCTTTTTATCTATGTTGTCTGATGTAGCACCTTGGTCCTGGGGAAACGTCACTGTGTACTGTACTGTACATTGTTGAAATGACAATAAAACCTACTTGACTTGAGTTGAGTTGCAGAATGAGAACTTGAAATCTTTAGGAGCCGAGCTCCATTTTTGCACCCTGCTGAGGGAGTTCAGCTCCTTTCAACTGGTAACTCTCCCAAAGACAAGAGGGAGTCCTCTCAGCAGGTAGCAGCAGCTTGTAACCTTCTCTGCAGCTTCCCCACTGACTTTCTGGGGAAGCCGGCAGAGAGGACTGCAAACAGTAATCATATAACTGCAGGGTGCTTGACAACTGATAGTAAGTGCAAACAGGTTGCCAAGCACCCAGATTGCAATCAGGTGACTGCAGGGCTGATACTGCCACACTTTGCAATGGCCAGCAATGTGTTACAGTCTATATAGTACCCTTTCCATGGCCATTATAATTCCAGATCATCATTAAATGAACAGTCATAAGTTAAGGATAGCTGTAATTCAAATTTTAAAAAATGTTATATACTTAACATACTTTATTGAAAATAATTATAAAGTGTTCAAATCCTTGAGGATTTTAGAAAATTTACAACAGGAAGAGGGAAAAAAGTAATAAATTCACAGTAAAAAATAAAAGACAGATTCCTTTAACAATTAGGTGGGATGGAGATTTACTGAAATAATATCTATATAACTTGATTATAGAATGTAAACAATATGTAGATTTCTGTATTTCTGGAGGGATACTATTCCACAAAAGAAGGCCCACTTTAGAGAATGCCTGTCATCTTGTGCTCAACCCATGAACTTTACAAGGAGAAACTCTAGCTGGATTTCTCTAACACATGACTATATAGAGGAAGTAACCTAGAACTGTTTTCCTTACCTGCAGCTCCTTGTGGAGCCTCATCAGCTCGTGCAGCTGAAGAATTAACACCATCCTGATTGTTATCAGGATCAGCCATTTTCTCCTGTCGGCGAGCCTCAGCTGCTCCTCTTTTGCCCAGGCCAGAGCCTCGCCGACTAAAAAACAGGTACAATCAGAAAACTTCTAGATTATGTTTTTAGTTTACAATGGCTTCAAATTAAACCCCATATGCCCTATAGTAGTAGTTTTTCACTGTATGTTCAAAAATACTTTAAAAAGTACACGAGTTTATGGAATGCGGGGGGGGGGGGATACTACAGATATTGTACTCCGCCGCAGGTCTCCTTAGGAGAAAAAGTGGCAGAAGCAACCTACAGGAGCAACTTGCAACCTCTTCTGCCAGTATCCTCATTGAATTTGATTGTAGGAAGCCAGCAGGGAATTTTACAAATGTGATGTAACTGTGGGATGCCGCAACTGTTATATGTGCAAGTTTGCCAAGCACCTGGGTCACAAACAGGTGACTGGGAATGCTGCAACTGCCAGTTTGTGGACTGGTTAAAAGTACCACTTGTTCATAACTTTGAATGATTGCTGAACTAGTAGTCATGACTTAAGAGCTACTTGTACTTACTGCCAAGAACTATGGAGTTTAAACCATAGAGAATCTATTAAGATTGATTCAAAATATTTCTTTTCAAAAAAAAATTATTTTTATTTCTATGTCCCTTAGAAACGTTTTCACCTATTTTCCAAATCCACATCATTTATCTTACTTGATCTGTTATATTTGTTTACCTCTTAAGTATATTATTTATCAGCTTACAACACATTTCTTTTTCAATGTATAAAATTATGCATAATATTCAATTTTCTCTATGTTGATTTCAAAGCCTTTCTGCCTCCTTGTGGAGATATTTAAATACTCCATCAGCTATATGACTTCTCTGATTAAAGAGTCATACACTATTATTTTATGTTATATTGTCAATATTATTTTATATTGAGAAAATTAGTACACAGTCTTCTCATACTTTTTTCCCATTACCTATATTTGAATCCTATTCAAATACTGTCCTCTTGCAGTCACCTCTACTAGTTTTTGAAGTTTTTTTTTTCAGTTAACAATTTTATGCTATTTAATGTGTTTGAAATATGTAGCATGATATTGCTTCTTCAAGGGTTTGCTTAATTTCTTGACTTATTAAATAACATTATCAAAGCACTTTGGGAAGCTCTCAGTTGCAAAATCCAAATAACAACAAGAAAAATAACATGGAACAAACAACAAAACTGCCACATTAAGTCTCCCCAAATTCTCCCTCTATTCTTAAAAGTTCATTAGAAAAATATATTCTTAACAAATTTCTAAAAGATTAAAAGAGAGAAACAACTAACCTAGCCATTTCACAAGGATAGAGCAATCACCTTATTTATGTTTAAATATTATATAAAGTTCTGCACAACTCACAATTTCAGGAGTTTTATTAAAACTTTGTTTTTAGTCTTTAACTAAAGTTTAAAAACTAAGTTTTTAACACATATGCTTGTACAACCTACATTTATACAATATATACTTAACTACTCTCCTATAAATGATTTAGTTTAAATGAACAGTTCCTACAGAATGTATTTTGAAGGAAATTCATAGAATTGTTGAATGGCCCCATTCGAATACTTGTATGCCAGCAATATAAATTGAGTTATAATTTAACCTTGTTACAATCTGCTTTACTTTTATAATAAGGGTTTCCTTTAAATCCCCAAATGAGCATGGTGGAATAGTTAAGAGGATGGCAAAAATGTGGAACAGGTTCACATGTGCTTCAAATGATTAAGAAAGTTGTTTGAACTGGATATAATTATCAGCAAAATATTTAGTGTGGACTTGCTGATTCAGTACAGTACTGAGAACAGATTACTTATTTTAAACTGTGGTTTTATATGTTATACTATTTCTCAAATCATTATTTATCAAATTTAACATACTATCAGGAACACAAATATAAACTGTCCATTATGTTCATTCAAGTTCTTTATAGGCTTTTCCCAAATGCAATTTCTTCAATTATTTTAAAGTGTTAGAAATTTTATATCACGTTATACCTGGTACTAGCACAGGAGCCCGTGGTCTTTTGCCGTGTGCTCCGCCTCAAACTGGGGAGCTCAGCAGGTGGTGATTCACTGCGCTTTTTTGTAGATTTTCTCAAGCCTAAACAAATAGAAGATGGGTAATAATGACAGCTTATATTTCTTCACAAGTTTCCCAATATGAAATATTCCCTTTCATTACGCTTCTTGCTCTTTTTACTTAGGCCACCATGAAAGAGAACTTCTATAAAGATGATTTAATAAAAATAAAAATATGGTAAGGTTAAAATGAATTTATTTTATAAATACAGTATACATTATATTATCACTATTACTGTATTTATTTACATGCTATTAGAAAAGCTTTTCAATATTTTCACCAGTAAAAAAAAATATAACCTGGTATTTCTTAGATTTATATTCTGACTTTCCTCTAAGCCTATTTCTTTTTCTCTCTAAATACAATTTTGTCAGATTTGTTGGCCTAAGAATGACCACTGAACTACCATGACTGATTTGAACCTTATCAATTCTTTCTTAACTTCTATGTCATACAACTGCATGTCCCATAGTATGTACAAGTTCATGCTATGATCTATGGAAGCCAATAATATGCCTGATGTGGAGGACAGGAAAAAATATTTCGATCAACTGTTTTATTTCAATCTATTGAAAGTTATATATCATTTTGACTTTGAAATGCCTTGTTTAAAATTATGATTTTCAAATTTGAAACAACATGTTTCAATCTAATTTTATCTCAAAACAGTGCTGTTCTGTTCCCAGGAAACTTTTGGAAGCTATTTCAATATCAAAATATTTGACAATACAATAAAGAGTACACCTTGAATGAAATGAAAAACCACTAAATAATATCTCATATCAAAAATATGTCTATATATGAACATTTTGATATATCCCGTTAGTTAAAAGAAATTGTCTTCTAATGTCAACAACCTAAATATTCTGCAGTGGAGAATTGATGTATAGAAGAAATCATCAAAAAATGACGAGATACAAGAAATTCAAACAGAAATTAATTTTCAATCATTGCTGAAGCTAAAACAGACTTTTTTACATGAAATTAGAAAGTGGAATGGTTTGATTTTCTTTTTTAGAAAGTCATAAATATCTGCACAAAATGAAGGGAACTAAATCCTTTCTATCTCAATAACTAGCTATAATTTCTTTCCAAAATTTAATTAAAGGAAGTTTCTTGAAACTATGGAAAATAATAAGGAAGGTGCTGACAGACATTAGGATACTCCTATATGCATGAGCATAAAGAAAAAAATCTTCCCTTCTCCTGGAGAGAATACAGGGATACGAGTGATACCTTTTCTTTTATAAGTAGAAAATGGATCCTTAGAATGAAAAATAATTTATATTAACTAATGCCATCTCATTTATTTAATTATTTAAATTTGGGGGAGGCAAAATTTGGGAATGGATGAAGTATTTTTATTATATGCTGATATTATTTCTGTACAAGTTAAACATGTAAAATTATTTTTTTAGCACTGATCAAAGAAGAAAAACAAACTCATCAAGGACCTGTTTATGGGTTTCTTTAAATTTATTTAAATCAGTCTATTACTGCATGATTCATAGCTAGGGCTGTGCAGTGCTTTGAATTCAATTTCTAAAGGATGCTTCAAAATGCATTGGAACACAAATGCAATGTTTATTTATATATGATTCTTTTTTCCACAGATGCATGATTACTCCCATGCAGCTGTCACATAATCCCAAGAAAGTCATGATTCTTTTACAATGTATAGGATATGGTATCATATTTGCTTTGTTTGATGCTCAGAAGTACCTTTTGTGGGTTCATCTAAAGCACTATACAATGCTAGGTAAACTACTTACTATGGCTACTAATGAATCCACTTAAGTGTTAACATCATTTATCTTTATTCAACAAATATTTTATTTATTAATAAGATCTATATGCTACATAAATTGGATGAAAGACTAAATCAGGGATGTCAAACTCAAGGTCTGGGGGTCAGATCCAGCCCATGGTGTGTTTAGATCTGGCCCACATGGAAACAGCAGCGAACCAGCCTACAGGGCCTCTGCCAGCAAAAATGGAGCTTGGGAAGGTCGCGGGCAGCCCTCCTGAACTCCGTTTTCTCTGGCAGAGGGTTGTAGGAGGCCATTGTAGCTGAAAATGGAGTTCGCAAGGACTATGGGTGGCATTCCCAAACTCCATTTTCACCGGCAGAGGGTTGCGGGAGGCCATTGTAGATTAAAATGGAGCTTGCGAGAACTATGGGCAGCATTCCCAAGCTCCGTTTTCTCTGGCAGAGGATTGCAGGAAGCCGTTGCAGCCAAAAATGGAGCCGTTTTCATTGGCAGAGTGTTTGGGATGCCACAGGTACCCCTGACACAAGTGACATCAAGCTAGCCATGCCCATTCTAGATACATCCCCCCGGGGCCGCCAAGGTCAAATACAACCCTAATGCGTCTCTCAATGAAATTGAATTTGACACCCTTAGTCTAAATGGTATATTCAAAGGTCTAGTAATCCAGATTTTAAAAAATAAGAGTAACAAAGCAAAAGCAGAGAATAAAAAGTGCAATCCAATGTAACATTTAACCATTCTAAAGCTTAACAATTCCTGTCACATAATTTTCAGAAGTCATTCAATTGTCAGTCTGATCCAACAAACCATTTAGAAGAACCAGGCCTCTAAAACAACAACAAGAAAAGGAGATATCTTTATATCGAGGTGGGTCGGTTGCATGCTGTTCCATAAGAGGAGGAAATTAAAGAAGTCTTACCCTTCTTTGATTTGCCTTAGTCCTTTTATCAACTTTACCTAGGATTTGGGATGCAAAACAAGTCCTCCCAACTAGATCTTACAATATGGGAAAATCTATCTGGAAAAAGCATTTCTATAAGTTCAAATCCTTAACCATAAAGAACTTTAAACTGCAGCATGAACTGCACCTGGAAGCCTACTTCTAACCAGTCCAGAAGACTTCAATGATAAAATCAGAGTTTTTTTTAATTTCACAATTGTCTTCCTTAAACTAAATATTTACTGCAAAAGTATGTATTATTTTCTTATAGCACGTGGTAAATATGTATATTTATAAATCATATGAATTGCAAAGTTATAAATCTACTGGAAAAACAATATGTTAGTTGATAATGGATAATTTATGTATCCAAGAGAGACTCTGAACAGAATCTGTATTCTGATCTGAATTCATATTTAGATACAATCACCTTTTCTACATTTGGTAATCCTTGTCCAAGTTGATACCTTTCCCTCTCTCTTTGCCACACAGGATTATGAATAAATAATTCCTATTCTTGTTTGGAAGATACAACTTAAGAAATAAGAAAAATGGACTCATTCAACATAAAATATGCTAGTAAACAAGATAACTTGAAATATAGGCAAAATATATAAAAACTAGAGGGCTGTGGAAAGTTACATCTTTCCTACTCCATTATAAGCACAGAATTTAAAAATGCAAAGACATGCACCACTGGAATAGAGATCAAGAGTAAGAACTGATGTCTTTGCACCTGAAATACACATTCCCTGCCTAGAGCCCCCAACAGCTCTTTCTTGAATTTACTAATCATCCAGTGATTATGCATGGTAAATTATTTTTCATATGACATTGCAGATCTTATTAAATTATTACAGTAGCTATATTACAACAACAACTACAACAACAACAATAATTTCCTCACAGAAATGGAAATATTTTCAACAACTCACTTGCTAGTTTAGCCTGTAATCCTGAAGGCCCAGGTTTTGATGCCTCTGGCTTAGAAGAGCCTGGTAGAGAAAGTTTTGTTTTAGGCAAGCTAACTTTGGGGCTAAAACGAGCAGCCCAATCAAACTTTGAAGAGCCACCGATTTTATTTTGTTCTTTATCCCTACTACTCCTCCGTGGGCTGGGACTGGATGCAGATCTGGAGCGCCTGGCCTTGCTCTGGTCTTTTCCCTGTTTGATTCTAGCACCCTGAGAAACAGCAGAAGATGCAGAAGCAACAACGGAGGAGGAGGAAGATGTAGATGCCGAAGAGGAGGAATCTGTGATGGTACTGCACCCAGCTTTGGCTGAGCTCACTGATTTTGAAGCCAGTTTGGTGGGTTTTGCTGGTCTCTCTTCACTGCCAGTTGATTCAGTTGCTGGACGACTCTTTACAATAGGTAAAGTTTCTGTCCTTTTCCGTTTCTGGCTTCTGGAGCTAACGGTAGCTCCACCCTTTCTGGTGTGAGCTTTACTGGTTGATGGCAATTGTGAAGACTTTGACTCTTGCTCTTGATGCAAATGTCTTTTCTTAGACTTAGTCTGAGATTTATTTCTTTCCAAGTCCAAAGAAGAATCAGCGTGCTGAAGTGCTTTGGTTTTTTTGGCAGGGCTAGGAGAATTTGTCTGGTTGTAATCTGGGCTAGCACTGCGTTTCACTCCTCGAGAACTGTCTCTTTTAGGCACCTGCCCGGATTTTTGTTGCTCTAAAGTACTGTCTGTGTCCAGAGCCTCTTGTTGTGGAATTATAATAGCAGATGAGCTACAGCCTCTGAGAAGGTAAACATAAATTCAATATTACTACTCAACAAAGAAAATAATATTTTTAAAAACTGCAGAAATCACCTGGCTATTTAATTTGTACTTTTCAAGGAAATGTGACTGAACAGTTACAACTACATAAGAACAAAGAAGCAAAGCAAAGCTTTGAGTCAAATCATAATAATAAACTAAGCAGTAGTGCTGCGAAGACTTACAGATTCTCTTACTGTAGATATGTATCTTTCAAACATACTAAACAATAATGCTGAAATCTCCCAAACCATGAGTTATATTTAAGTATTTTTTTAAGTTAATATTTAGTATAATTGTGCAACATTTTCAACTGGGAGTAATAGATCAGTTATAGTAAATGCATTATATGAAGAAACAGTAGCAAATATAATTCTGGAGTCTGTAATATCCTCATCGATAGTTTCTTGGATACTTACTAGTTTTTTTGCCCAATTTGGCTTAAAAAAAAGGATTACAAAAAGAAATAGAAAGCTGGCACCCTACAATATTGGCTACCTTCATTTTCATATTTATTTTCAAAAATGACAGATTATACATGACCTTTAAACATTGAAAATAAAATTAGTGTGCCCTGTGATCCAGTATTTGAAGAGATCACCTGTTTTTTGGAAGTCAAAAGTTATGAGAAAAGAAGGGGAATGAAAATAAATTCAATCATATTTTGTGATCAGCTATCTGTATCACTGTTATTTTATAAGAATACCCCCAAACATGCTATTAACTTACATATAATCATTAGGCTAGAACATTGTTTCTCAACAATACTGGCTGGGGAATTCTGGGAATTGATGTCTATGTACCTTAAAGTTGCCAAGATTGAGAAACACTGGGCTGGGAAGTTAAAAATGTCTATGTAGTAAATGAGGGAGAAAGTACAGCAACTTTTGAATGGGGTTACAGGCCAAGGCACAAACTACATCTTGCATTTGTTTCACTTTGGGGTGGGGGTGGGGGTGGAAAGGCTTTAAATGCAAAAATAAACTACTTATATCACACCTGCAGGTCCAACATGGTTTCCTGCCAACTAGAGGCAAACATATTCAATAATCAGTGTCAAATTCCACCAAAGAGCTGATATTGAACACTCCTAAAATAAAGAATTTCTATATCTTTGCTAATTTGTTCCCAGAACTACCTTTATGAGAAATGGCAACCAATGAATTTTAACTTTCAACAGTGAAATTTGCTTGCTTCACAACTGATGTTCTTATATCAGTGCTTTTTAATGCTTCATTTGGAACTACATTGAGTTTCACAGTGAAAATTGCCAATACTGAACAAAACTAAAGATGCTAAAGCATTCAATGAAACAATTTGATTCCATATTAGACAATTTAATTGTTATTCCACTGGATTAAGAAGACTCCATTAAATATCCCAAATAAGAAATTTAAAAAATCAAAAAGGACGTTGGTCTTACCTGAACGTCTATTTTCTGATGGGAGGAGGGAATGGTCACACGAGGGTTTTATCACAACCTGATTGGTCCAAGGCTGAGAGGAAATCTATAAATACCGGTGCCTGTCCATTGCTAGCCCAGATTCTCTCAGCCTGGTCCAAGCTGTAGAGTAGTTGGATAGGTTCTGTTTGTTTTCTCCTTTTGGGTGAGTTCTATTCAGTCTGATTCCTATTTGGCTAATTGGGCACTTTAAATTTAAATTCTAAATTGATCTGCTGCGGCCCCAAGGGACAGATCTCTGCCTCGGGCGGCTGGGGGAGGGCCCAGTGGGGCACTAGTCTCCCCCCCGCAGGCCAGGAACCTTTGCCCGTCCCCGGGTGCGGGGGTGCGGTTCCATTCAAACTGCTTCGTTCAAACTACTTGAAAAGGCTGTTTTTTTGCAGCATTCAAACTGCTTCGTTCAAACTACTTGAAGAGGCTGTTTTTTTGCAGCAGGAAAGTGAAAGTGAAACTTAAGCCTCGAGGCTCCAGCGAGCAGATCGCTCCAAAGGGGGCCCCTCGCTGCAGGCTTCCTTTGTTTGTGTTGCCGGGGAGACAGAGCAGGGGGGGAGAGCGGCTCTCCCTGCTCAATTTAAAGTGAAGCCGGCTAAAAAAAGCCTGGCTGGGCTGCTGGTGATTATTTCCAGCCCTTTTCTCCC